GATTGTGTGTTTGGGTTTGATTAGCCGTTACTCACAGGTCAATGAAGATCTGCAGTATTATAGATAGAGGAGACAGTCCAGATGAATACTAATAATGAACTGATTTATTTGTTGGATGCTGGTCTCTTTTTGTTCATATGATTCACACTGCTCTGTTAGTGCTGTATGTTCAGTTTGTATCAGAATAAAGTCGTGGGCTGATGGGAAATCTGTGTCTGATTATAGCACGTTTATCTGTGCGTAAAGCTGCAGCAATGATGCCATTATCACAGTAATGACAAGATTATGGTGGAAACTAGTCTTTTAAAATCTGGTCTCAGAATTAACCAAACCAACGCTCAAGTGAGGAAGGCCTCGTTGCTGCTGGAATAGAAATAACACCGTTATAGTTATCGACACAAATCAAGAACATTTTTCAGTATTTATAATTACTTAAAATTGATTAATTATATATATATATATATATATATATACACACACAGTACTCTGACCAAAATGTAAAAGTGAGCTGTAACTTAAAAAAAGAAAAGGTCATGATTAATTTCCAGACGGGTTTTGTTTATGTTTGGTCTTCGTCTGAATCAACGGTACAGCGGTCGGGACGGGTTTCGCGGGAAATTGCGTACATACGTCATTCAGCGTGCGTGTCTCCTCGTGTCCGTAAAAAAGCAGCTGAACATTAGTTGTCATGAGCGAGAAATAGCGACCATAACGATGTCAGAAACTCAGAACAGAGCAAACGAAGCGTAATAAACCCCGGCTCTTTAGAGAGAACTCCGAGAAGTGAAAGGATTTAAAGCGGATGCACAGATGTTACTTCATCACTCGCAGGTAAGAGCATTTATTTAACGATATGTAGCTCTCTAAGCCTCTGTTCATTACGGCTTTTTGTAATGCTGTGTTGGTTTTATTTTCAAGGATAGACTGTTAATTAGAAAGCTAATGGGTCGCCAAATTAACGTCTTCAGCTGTCAGTTTGCGACCCTTTCCATCTAAACTACTACATCTTTTGAGATGTTTGTTTCACCTCAATAAAAAAAAAAAAAATTCTAATTGCTCAAAACATAAGACGTATGGTTTTTAGATTTTCAGGTGTAAATTCACTACGCACCACATTCATCCGCGCAGAGCCTCAACAATGTTCTTCCGCAAGATGCATGTAGTTTTATTTAACAGTCCCATACCTTTCAGAATATCGTGATTAAATGTGTGCTTCTGTCTCTCTATCGCAGGACACTCACACAGATGTTTGTGATGTGATTCACATACTGTGCCTGCATATGGATATCTCCCTTCTATACAATGTGCAGAGAGCAATCAGTCATGCAGGTGCCAAAAATGTTGATCCTCGTGGAAAAAAGAACTCGAACACACCAGGCATTGCAGTGTTTGCTGTCAGTGTGTCACAGGAAATGGCAGCATGGTGTATAGAATACGCATGAGCTGAATCTCAAAAAAGAGGAATCTGGACAGAGTTATATACATTGATGAGGTTTTTGAGCTCGCAGAGCTGCTCAGTCTGATGGACAAGACTGCATTCTAACTTAACCGCACCAATGACAGCAGCTGATGACAAGATTGTCTTTCAGAGCTGCTTTACAGGAGAATCTGAATGGTTTCCATCACTGATTCTGTTATTCTCCATGTTGATCTCTGTGAAGCAGCTTTGACAACCTGGACTGTATAAAGTGCAATAGAAATAAATATGACTCGACTTTGAAATAAAAATGTCATAAGCAAGCAGACTTTAATATTTCAGTTTAATGAAGTATTACAGATACATAGAGCACATTTCTTATTATGGGATGTTTTCTTTACGAGTTGAACATGTTTCTTTTAAAGCATTAGGTGACCATAAGAAGAGCCTCAACAAAGACGGAAAGCATTTGTCGTCTCGCTCCTTTATAACTGCAGATGTTCTGATTAAAACACGAACCACAGATCAGTATTTACATCCCCTTAATTAAACCGATCAAGTCGCCGTGTTTGTTCAGTCAGTGTTCCAGAGCTTTCTGAAGGCGAACACACACCTCCTGTTCTCCCAGAGAAAGCATCATCTCCGCCACACTGGGACCCTGCTGCAGACGCACAGAGCAGACCGATAGTGAGAGAGAGAGTGTGTGTGTATGTGTGTGTGAGAGTGAATGTGAGTGTGTGTGTGAGTGAGTGAGTGCAACCCTCTACATTGCGAGTAAATCACTCGCATATGCGACTAAATCTTCACTCTGGCGACTAAATTATGTCTAATATTAGCCAATTGCTACTAAATTCTCAGATTTTACTCGCCAGTGTGTGAGTTGGAGGCTAAGTATAAGTTTAGCTCAGATATATTTTCACTCGCCAAACACTCTGACTGAGCGTATCAGAGTTTCACTCTCCGTCAAGCGATCTGTGCTGTCTGACGAGTAAACAAAAAAATTTACTAGCCAATGGCGATTCAATTGCGAGTGAGTGAGTGAGTGTGTGTGTGTGTGAGTGAGTGAGTGAGTGTCACCTGTTGCGCGCTCAGAGCGAGTCTCAGCACTCTCATCCCTCCGCTGTATTTGGTGTGCTTCAGTCTGCTGGCGATGAGTTTGAGCTCAGTGTTCAGATGCTCTGTGGACTCGAACGAGCCGCCGGACGCCACCAGCCTAACCACAAACACACAGACGCGTCACGACATGCACGAACACACCAGTAACGGTCACGCGCATACTCACTGTATGACTGCTGCTGCGATGTCATCCACCTCTGCGCTCACTTCCTGCAGCTGCTGCCGCGTGACTCGCGGCCGGATCCACAGGTATGTATGCGTGTCATTGAGTAGCTCTCGCAGAGAGCAGACGTGACCCTGAAACACACACACACACACGTTCATTCAGTGACAGAAGAGCTCAATCAGACACTCGCTCAAACACACAAAGCTTAGCGCTGCGTTCGATCCTTAACAACAATGGATGAAATGTTTAGACCTCTACTGATGAGTAAATCTAGAGTATGTCCACGAGTGTGTTTGGTCTCATGCACATGCTGAATCAGGTCAAAAGTGTTTAAAACAGTTAAAATTTCTTTTTGTAATTTATAATTTCTTTATTTTTGCGGGCGGCAGATCCTTCTCCTATTTAGCGCCCAAACTCTGGAATAACCTACCTAACATTTTTCGGGAGGCAGACACACTCTCTGCACAGTCCTCTGCACAATCTGACTTTGCTGCAGCCTAGAATTAAACTGCTAGTTTCGTTAAGCCAGAGGAGAACGGAACACTATTTCAACACACTATTTCTCTGTGTAATACTGTAAAGCTGCTTTGACACAATTTGCATTGTAAAAAGCACTATATAAATAACGAAACTAACAAAACAAAAACAAAGCGTGAGTGATGGCGTTGGCTTGGTTTGCTCTGCTACCTTGCGCAGCTGCAGGACTCTCTGCATGTAGTGCGGCTCCAGGACGGTGCAGTCGCTGATCCGAGAGCCGTGTATGTGAAGAACCTGCTGACGCAGCTCATCCCGCAGCACAGCGCACCTCTCCTCATCCTCGATCCTGTGCTGCAGATGAACCCTACACACACACACAGCGCTGAAACACTCAATCCCAGTATCTCTGCTGCGATGTGATCAGCTGGCCTTTGTTAGGGCGTATAAGACGTACACTTATCTTACAGTGCAGTACAGACAGTACACTGGGACTCTGTTCATCTGCATGTGTGACAGCTTTAACTAAAGAACAAACCTGCTGAACTCGTCTAGTTTGTCCAGATCCAGCAGAGCCGAGTGCGTCGTGATCTTGGAAATGTTAAACTTGCAAACTAATTCATCCAAACGCCGACCGATCCAATTATCTGCAGAAAAGAAAAAAACTGAAATGAACAACATTAACAAATGATTTTAAGTGTATGATGAATGTTTACTTTCACCAAACCCAATCGTATGCTTTGAGAACTTGAGATTATTCTATGATACGTGTGCATCTTTTTGAAAGCTTGAAGCTGGTCATCATTCACAGTCTTAATATGGATGAGCGCATGCAGGACATTACTCTTAATTTCTCCTATATTGTTCAGCAAAAGGATGAATATCATATGGCTGTGGATCAATAATGTAAATAACAGAGGTGGGTAGAGTATCCAAAAACTGTACTCAAGTAAAATTACATGCGTTTTAGAAATTATTACTCAAGTAAAAAAAGCTTCCAATGAAAAAACTACTCAAGTTGTGAGTTACTAGTTACTTTGGATCATTCATATATATATATATATATATATATATATACACAGTTGTGCTCATATGTTTACATACCCCTTGCAGAATGTGCAAAATGTTAATAATTGAAACAAATAAGAGGGATAATGAAATGCTATTTTTTTATTTAGTACTGTCCTAAATAACCTATTTCACATAGCAGATGTTTACATGTACTCCACAAGACAAAAATAATAACTGAATTTATAAAAATTACCCCATTCAAAAGTTTACATACCCTTGAATCTTAATACTATGCGTCATTTCTTGGATGATCCATGACTGTTTTTATATTTTGTGATAGTTGTTCATGAGTCCCTTGTTTGTCCAGAGCAGTTCAACTGCCTGCTGTTCTTTGCATGTTATTTTTTATTTAGTACTGTCTTGAATAAGCTATTTCACATAACAGATGTTTATATATACTCCACATGACAAAATAATAACTGAATTTATAAAAATGACCCCGTTCAAAAGTTCACATACCCTTGAATATTAATACTCTGTGTCATTTCCTGGATGATCCAGGACTGTTTTTATATTTTTTGATAGTTGTTTATGAGCCCCTTGTTGGTCCTGAGCAGTTCAACTGCCTGCTGTTCTTCAGAAAAATCCTCCAGCTCCTCCACATTCTTTGGTTTTCCAGCATCTTCTGCATATTTGAACCCTTTCCAACAGTGACTACGATTTTGAAATCCATCTTTTCACACTGAGGACAATTGACGGTCTCATGCATAACTATTACAAAAGGTGGAAACATTTACTGATGCTCAAGAAGGCCAC